ACCAGCATCCTTTCTCGGTCTGTAGCGTAGTCAGCGGCGTCTTGATGCAGTTTTCCTTCTCGTGTATTTCGTGGGTATTTTCACGTACAAACGCCACGTAACAGATTGGCACAGCTACTAGTTCTTGAGCGTCCGACCCAGCTTCCAATAGAGTTCCTCCTTCAAAAGAAGCACCTTGTCGCAACAACTGTGTGAGCTCAAACCACTCCACTTTCGTCCCGCTGAGCTTCTCCCTCTCCCAACAGGACAAGAGCTTCATCCCGTCCATCGAACACTTCTGCTCACGGGCGCTTTGCTGACCTAAAACATTGAGGAACGTGCCTGGATGCAGCACCTCCGATAAATCCACGCCTTTAGACAGCAGTTGGCCAGTCCCCACTTCTTCTTGCCACTCCGAGAGCGCTCGTCTACGCATGACAAAACCACACAGCCCTGCAATTTGACCGAGAACTTCAGCCAAGTACTACTATCAGGACAGAAGAACCTGACACGTGGCGTGAAGCTACCTCAAAGCACGCAACACGCCGATTTCCTCGACATAATTGATCGCTTCCCTGACATCGACGCGCCTGCGATGTTCAAGCTTCCAGACAACATGACACCATCGAAGGGTCCATGCAGCGTTCGCTGTCCGGCCAAGTGATCACTCAGTTAAAAAAAATTCTTTCAACGAAGCGGAAGCTACAACATTCGACCGGGAGAAGTGGAGAGCACAGCTGGGACCTTTGCTGGAGACGTGGGGGAAGCTCGCAACGGGTTTCCAACTGGGAGGAACGTCCATGATTTCCAGTGGGAATATTCTACAGGTGATGGCTCCTGCGGACGCTGTCGTGGCTTTGGAGAACAAGCGGTGCAACAAGTGAATTTCTTCCTGCAGGCGTATCTACGGTTCTGGACTGCTCAGCTAAGGCTCTGCTTAAAGGTATTGTCCCTACTGCTCATTGGGAAGGTAACGAGAACGTAGCCACTTGACTCTCAGGTCGTACCTGCGGCCACGGTAGATAGCGTTCTCCATCAGGCCATGAAGTGTCTGCCAGTCGATTTTGGAGCCACTGGTCTGACAAGCCCACCATGACGTTCGAACCTGCACGGAAGCCACCGAACGAAAACTCATAGAACTTGG